GGTTTCGGGGGCTCAGCTGGTTCCTGGCGCCGTGCAGACAGAGCCGGGCCAGGTGTCGGACCACGCTGAGCAGCGTCAGGCCGTACTGGGCGGGGCAGGCGGGCGAGCTGGCCACGCCCCTCAGCACCTGGGCGCAGTCCTCCGGGTCTCGGACCTCTGCAGGTACAAACAGCAGGACAGGACTGTGAACAAAAGGTCATTTCAGAGGAGTCGGGACGAGACGGGAGGCGGCGGGTTCTGCTGACCTTGGACCGCGTGGATCATGTCGGTCTGCAGCGAGGACGGCAGGACGGGACCGGGGAGGTCCTGCAGGAACCGGACCACCCCGTCACACAGGGATGGCACCTCCAGCTGCTCCAGGTCTGAAAACAAACACACCTGAGTCATGATGCCGCCGTGTGACTGCGGCTGTTTGTGAATGTGTGACGTGGCTGAGTTCTGACCGGAGTCGGTGAGCTGCCGGGTGTCCAGACCTCCTCCAGTCACGCTGCGGTACACACCAGGACTGTCCAGACCTGCAACACAACATCAGCGATCCAATCAGCCCGAAGCAGCGATCCACAGCGACAGCAAACTGAATCCTGGACCATGTGGGACACATGCAGGGTCCTCGTCTCTTCTAAAACAGAACTTGTTGGACATAGCTCTTAGTTAGCTTTTAAACGTAGCTCAGAGATGTTCTAGGTGTGAGCTCACCAACAATGAAGGCAAATAAGAAGCTCGTTGTGTTCTTCTGCACTGACGCAAAAAACTGTTAAAAATGACTGAAGAAGTTTACGAAGACTAAAAAAAAGTGATGGTAGAAGCACAAACTGTCCAAAATGACCTAAAGATTGTTTAAAGTGACCTTAAAACGTTAAAACAGTTGAAAGTGACAAAAAAAAACCCAAAAAAGGCTCAATTTTGTTTTTCAAAACTACTTAAATTGTTCAACTCAATTGTTTAAAATGCATCAAAATCAGCTAAAAATGACTTAAAATGTTTCTTAAAATTCTCACAAACTTCCAAAAGTTCCGAAAAGTTTAAAAAAATAAAAAGTTCAAAATTAGCAAAGATTTTTTCAAAACAATTAAAAATATTGTTCAAATTTACTTAAAACTGTGTTCAACACGACTTACAATAATTATCATTCAAAATAACGTCTTCATTGCTTAAAAGTATTTACAAAACTGTTAAAACAACTCAAAACGTGTTCAAAATGCTGAAAAGTTGGTTAAAATTCACTCCCTGAAGGTTCCGTCTGGTTCTAGAACAAAGTTTATTTATTAATTCACTTTGACAGAACCGCCTCCGCTGCAGCAAAA